CCACGGCGAAGGTGGGCGCGTTATCGTTCTCGTCGAGCACAGTGATAACCACCCGCACTCTCGGCAACGCCACCAGGCTGTACGACGGTCGGGTCTCGCGATCCAACGGCACCCGCGTTCTTATCTCCCCCGTTGCCGACTCGATGATCAGGTCGGTCTCCACCGGCGAACCCGGTACCGGCGCTATCAGATAAGGCGGGCTGTCAATGTCGATGAAACCCACCCGGGTGCCCGGCCGCACGTTCTCGGACACCTCCAGGTACTTTACGCGCTCGTGCAGCGCACCCGGGGCGGGGGTCGCGCCCAGGCCGAGGGTCGCTCCCAGGACGAGGAACAGTAGCAGATGCCACATCCTGGGGCCTCCAGCACCACGCCACGGCCGTCCCTCCACCTCCTCCTCCTCCTCCTCCTCGCCCTCCTCGACACTCGCGATATTATCTCGACCTTTCCATCCTCTACGGCGCGGCCGTCGGTCGCGATGCAAAGCGAAACGGATTCCTCGTACCTGCCGAGTCCTCGTGTCCTCCTCCTCCGTACGCGCACTCCTTCCTCGTCGCTTCTTTTTCCCCTCCTTTTTCTTTCACCGGCACTTTCCTTATCACCCCAACTTAACCTAACCTTTGTATTAACACCAACACAAAGCAACCACCAAATATCACTGTTTTATCCTTGAACGAGTCTCTCGCGACTGTATTCACTCCACCGACTTTTATTATACGTTCACACGCGAAGTACCGGATTCCCTTCTCCTCTTTCCACGAACGTTTCAAGTACCGGCGTAATTGTCTCACCGCGTCATAGATTTACACCCGCGACTGCGCGAACTGTGCCCCGGTCCGCTCCGCGAGAACATAGCGGAGATTCGTTCGTTCGAACTAAAGTTGACCGTTGATCGAATTATCGCGGCGCACTAATTTTTCCGACGTTCCTTTATGACGGCGAGATATGGCGCATTCCTCGCGTCATTCGCTCCGCGAGAACATAGCAGCGGAGATTCGCTCGTCCGAAATGAAGTTGGCCGTTGGTCGAATTATCGCTCTAATTTTTCCAACGTTCTTTTACGACGACGAGATACGGCGCATTTCTCGCATTATTCTCTCCGCGGAGATTCGCTCGTTCGAGCTGAAGTTCGCCGCTGGTCGAATTATCGCGGCGCTCTACTTTTCTCTTCCACGAAACTTCCTTTCTTCCTTTCTCCTTTCTCGTTTTCTTCGCCGAGTTCCTTTACAACGGCGAGACACGGCGCATTCCTCGCGTTGTCCGCTCCGCGAGAATATAGCGGCGGAAATTCGCTCGTTCGGAATGAAGTTGGCCGCTGACCGAATTATCGTGCTACTTTTCTCCCTCCTTTCCCGTTTTCTTTGCCAAGTTCCTCTACGAAGGCGAGATATGGCACATTCCTCGTGTTAGATCCACGTCCGGATAACCGGCACAACCGATCAGCACGACCGGTCGCGAACCCGGTGCGATCGTCCCGCGTCATGCATGACCGTCGTGTTTCCGTCCCGTCGGGACACCTCGCACTCCTCGCACTCCTCGGCGCTGTCGCGGACTCCGTCCGCTCTGTGTTCGTGATTCGTCCCACGACGTCACGGGCCGGTCGTTGCCGCTGTCATCCCCGCTGACCGGCTGCCGCCGTAAGACGCTCCGCTCCGTCCGTCGGATCGCGTCGATCGATTCGCGAACCGGAATCAAGAACAGACCAGAGTGAGAAACCAGTCTGTACGTTGGTCCAGGAACAAAAATTCCAGAAGCGAGGATACCAGGAAGGCAAAATCAAACGACTCGCGGACGACGGGTCGTCGAAAGAACACTCCGAACTGTCAATCGTACACCTGTCGAGAAATCGCGAATAGACGAATTACGACGCGCCCTTTGCCCAACCTCGTTACGCGAAGTATCACGGTATAAAGACGCGATTTGCCCGCTTCTTTTCACGGCTTTCACGGAGCAGAGGAGACGCGCGCCGATCGTCTCGTCTCTCCTTTCGCGTCCGACGTTCTGTACGCGGCCTTACTTTAATCGCGAAGGGTCGGCGGAACACTCTCCTCGGTCACGCACAGTTTTCTCCCGATCCGAAGGAGACAGGACCGTTGCCGTCCCGGTGCCGCCGTCTCTCCACGTACGACGTTGTAGCAGCTGTGAACCCGTCGAGCTGCGGGGACGCGAAAACGCGCGCGATAAGGGATATTAGATAACCCTTCCTCCGCAGATACAGCGGTGTGGCGCGAGGTATCGCGTAGTCGGGCCCAACGTCCGTTCCGCGCGGCTTCGAGGTTAGGCATGCACTGACATGGCGGCACCTGCGAGGCTCACCCTTCCCCTATCCCGACGGGCTCGCCTGGCTCGGTCAGGGGGGCCCACGGCTGGGCCTCAGCTCGACCAGCGGCGGCCATCTTGGAGAGGGGAGCCTCGATTCTCGAGTCGGCGGCGCGCTGGTGCCGGGACTGCCGCTGCCGGGCCCCGGCATTCAACGCGCTCTTCGAGTCTTCGCGGCAGCGAGCAGCTAGACCATACCAAACTCTCTTACCTGCCTGCCCGCCTGCCTGCATGCCGACTCTCTTCCCTTCTCTCTCTCTCTCTCTCTCTTTCTCTCTCTACTCTTTCTTACGCTCCTCTCGCTCCCTTTCCTCCACCGCCGTGTATTTCTTCCTCTACCTACCTACCTGAGCGCTCGGTATGCGAAAAACTGACTTACCGTCGGCGCTCATTCCGCGCCCGACCCTACGAGACTCTTGTACCGAGGGTCCATCTCGTGCCAAAGGTCCCGGAATCTTGTGACGCGAGGCGGGAAAAACGTGCCGTCTCCTAGAAACGCGAACTGGGCCTACAGGAGGGATACTCCGGGACGAGAGGATCTTTTCGGCGTGTCGCACGGATTGTCTAGTCTAGTGGACTAATCGAACTGGACAGATCGTGAGGAATTTTGCGACCTGAGAAACATTTGCAGGGACATTTTTCCAGAAATTTTCCGCATGGGAGATGACTTGTACGATAGGACCTCCCATACGAATTAATCAATGATATAAGACCCTTTAGATGAAATACAAAGATCCTGGAATTTTTTGTAACGTGACGAGAAAAGCGGTTACGAGAACGTGCCGTTTCGTAGAAACGCGTGTTATGCGAATTGTGAGGGGAATGCTCGAGATAAAGCGCATTCTCGAAATGCGACTGCATTTCAAACTGAATATAAAACAAGTTGCAACCTGAATTAAATCGAAAGACGACAATCGAGCTTAACGTCAGATTTGTATTGTCAATTTGTTTTATGGCACATTTGTTTTATGTGTTATATCACTCTCTTACTTTAAGAATAAGAGATATAACTAAAAAAACGTGATTTGTTAATTATTACCATGAATGAGTTGGGTATAATTCTATCAACTATTAAAAGTAAAGTAACGTAATTTCAAAATTGTCTAAACGTCACAATTAAAAAAGGGTAGTTTAAAAACTCATTAAAGTCCTTACAAAGAATAGTTTTTTAAAGATTATAAAATGAAAATGACAAAAATGATGTTTGATTAATTAAGAATTCTTTTTGCCGATATTTGATTAATCAATAATTTTCTGTCAAGTTGACAAATAGTTTGTTTCTTACAATTAGAAACTTAATTTTTTATATTATGTCATTTTTTAAGTAAGAAAATGATGTGTAAAAGTCTAAAAGTTACATAAAAAAGTTATTACAAATATATATTTCCAGTGTTGTGTTAACACTGTTAACTCAAGCCATGACACACTGTGTCTCCAGATTTTCATGTTCTAAAAGTAAAAGATTAAGAGTAGAAAAATTAAAAGTAGAAAATTAAAAGTAATATTATAGTTGCACAAACCTAATATTGCTCAATTGTAGAATAATATAATATTGTAAATAATATAATGTAGAATAATATAATATTGTAAATTATTTCAAAAGGATATATTATACATGCAGATCGATTAACAATAATAGATAGATAATTTCCAATAAAACATTTCCCAAATATGAAATTTGCAATGGCCACATTCAGAAAAATATTTATTTTGCAGCTGTTGGAAATTTTCTTCGCTGTGATAGGATTATTCTAGACTAGTCTCTCTCTAAATGTATAAATCAAATATAAATGAAATGCTTATATGAGTCTTTATCTTTACAGTTGCTGATGTGTAAATAATATTTATAGCCAAGTACAAACTTCGGTCACTCAAATCCAAAATCGAAATGTTTACACTTTGCAGTTAACTTCATTAGTAAGTACATTCTAATTGTTTATTAATTATATTTTATAAACATATTATTTGCGTACCAACCGTACAGAAGCTTGAGTTGTATTGTAAAAAAGAAAAGAAAAATATAGGCATTTTATTTACATTTGATTTATTCTTGAAATCACAAAATCGTTTTCATTTTTATTAAAAAGCTTAATTCAATCAGCGCGAAGAAAACTTCCAACAGTTGCAAAATAAACTTACAGAGAGAATTAGATATCATAAATTTATAACGATATATGATATAAATACTTCCTCGTCAGAAAATATGTGTATTATAAATACTCGATCGCCTCAAGAGCCAATATCCTTGTCAATCAATGTCACGGGACATTCTTAACAGCCGCAATTACGATTGCAAATAATCTAAGCACTGTCGTAAAATGCGGAGCTCAAGGTATCGGCTAACATTAGACTGTCAGCGTTTCCTCAATTGCGGGACAACCTCAGCGAATTGAAGCATAGCACGCAAACGCGCACGCGGCAATCAAAAAGGTAATATATCCAGCTGCTATATCTCTTAGCGCTTAAATATTTTTGAAATATTTACAAAATGTTCTTAATCTCAAAATAACATTTCAGAAATATTCCGGAATATCTCGAAATATTTACAGAATGTAAAAACAGTATTGAAATAATCGTTAAATATTCCATTTGTACACTGTTACATATATTCGGAGAATGTTCCCTATATATTCCGCAAAATTATTTTTTCCAGAAATTCCAGGCCCAGAGATCCCTGAATTAATGTTTAAACATAATAACATACACACATTTCATTTATTTTTATCTTGAAGTTTACTTCAGGCGAAATACTACGCTGTTTATATTTCCTCTATATGATTTTTATTTAAATTAATGTATCTCTGTGTTGTGAGTGAAATTTTTATGACATATGTAACAAGTGTTCGTACAATATTCTAAACATTTTGTTGATATTTAAATATTTTATGAAAATTTGTTTGCTGTTACGAATATACGGTACATTGGGAATAAAAATAAAACTTTTCATAAACGATTACACCGAGAAAAAAGTTGTTAACTTGACTAAATGCATTTAACAATATGACAATTAAAAAGGGCATAGAACCAATATATTTAAACAAACAAATTTAATTAAATTAGAATCATGAAGTTAACAAACGTTTCGACTCCGATCGGGTCATTTTCAATGTTACAAAGGTAAATCATAAATAAAAGTACAACTATATAATGTTAAATAAATGAAAAGACCATAACTATAACAATTCGTTAAACTGCCAGCAAATTCTTGTCTTTACTATATAAAAAATTATCCTTAATCTTTAATTACAGTTACAACATCTAAATGCATTTAGTTCGTAGTAATTACATAGTTCAAGTATTTATATGTATATTTAAGTTAAAAATATACGCGAGTCTCATATCACTATGTTATTTATTTGAATTAACAAATATTTACTTGACAGCCTGTTACCGCTGCATTTAGTTGAATCAACTAATTTTTTTTTTAACAGCAAGTTTTTTCTCGGTATAAGGTAGAAGAACACAAATTCTCTTACATAAATGCGTACATAAGGCATAAGAAAATCAACTAACCGAAGTCTTCTATTTTATGAAAAAGAAGGAAATGAAGGACTTTGATTGGTTCTTTTTATACATTACGTATTATGCTTTATACAAGACTCTGGTATTTACTCCCCTCTTTCTACAATAAGTCATTACTTAAGCTTTAAGTCTTAAGCTATAAGAAACTGACCAATGATAATCGATTATTCTTCTTACATTCAACTGTGATTGGTCAATTTCTTACGACTTTAAGACTTAAAACTTAAGTATGACAGCTTATTGTAAAAAGCCCATTAACGTTAGCTGGATATGTTTGCAGACGGAGATTAACGATTATGAGATGAGATAACGAGCATCGATCGCGACAATCGCCGTAGAACCGTCGCAAATCGGATCTCGTTCGCACGGCCGTTACAAAGATTCGTCAATGCGCTCCGCTTCGAGAGACCCGTCGAGAAAGATCGTCGTGGTAATTTGTTACTTTGCGAGATGATAGGCATTTGATAGATCACCGAGGCGCCGGCCGCGCGAAATCAGCCCGGAACGAAAGGACGATCCAACGGCGCCGCGCGGCGCGGCGACGCGACGTGTCTCGGGGGTCGAGAACCCCTAGATCTCTCTCTTCCCTTCTCTATCAATTCCCCTTTCTCTCTCTCTCTCTCTCTCTCTCTCTTCCCTTCT